CCACAGACTGCAACTCTGACTCCCTGAGCAAGACCTTAAACCCCAGACTGCTCCCTGACTGCCAAATGTGGCAGCCCATTGCTCCCCAAGGGGATGGGTTACATGCAGAGAGTGAATTTACCTATTGTGGGACAGTAAAGGATTTAAATTGAATTGTCCAATCAATTTTTCCCTCAACATTTCAACACAGAATTATTTTGTGCCCCTCTGTCATGGGGGGACCCACAGGGCTCAGTTTGGGGACCAGTTCTATTTAGTCTGCACTCTATGGAAAACCCTTTTGATTTCTATGCTGACTATTGTCAGATCTATCTGCAACCTGAAGCAGAGGATCAGCTCCCTGGTGAAGACTCACCTGGACTGTTTAGAAGACAGTAAAGCTTGGGTAGCCCTGAACCTTTGGATTTTAACCATAACAAAACTGAGGAAATAGTGCTCAGACCTAGTAGCCAATTTGTGACCGTTGACAGCCTATTTTCAATGTCACTGATTTTGGTTTTAAGTTGGATAGTGATTTTAAATATGATAGTCAGAATAGAGCAATTATTAAATTGTGTTTTCATCTTTTAAGGCTGGGCATACAATGTACAGTGTTTTCAATCGTTGTACTCAGCTACAGCTCAAACTGTACAATGAAATCGCAGGGTTCAAAAGTTCACAGCTTACGATATATGTTCTTACACTGTACTGCCTGATGCGATCTAACTGCTCACACTGTGCATCCCGAATCCCCACGTCGGACTCAGCACCGAAAGATGACGCTGGTCGGACTTGGCTATCTGGAAGAAGAACTCCCTTGTTTACACATGCGCTGTGCGCAAGGTTCTGATAAAATTGGCTGCTAGCTCTGCTTCAACAGTAGGATTTGCCCATGTACACCTGAAGAGGACTGTCAGAAATTCCAAAATGTTTGATTTTCTCCTTAACTCACCAATCCTGATCGGGAGGTGTTCGTGAGAGGCTTATCGCCCCTTGCTACCCCCTGTACGAAATATTACACAAAGTAGGATGCACTATTAGGCTCAAACTTGGCGCGATCCAAAAACTTCTTGCATGATTGGAGAATCAGCCCAAAAAGGGCTAAAACTCATAAAGTGTATGCTCAGCTTAAGACAGCTGGCAAGTGTGAAATCCTTTATGTCAAGACCTGTCTTTGAAACAGCAATTTGTGCCTTTATTTCTTCCTGTCTGGATTACTGCAACAGACTTTATGCTGAAATGAAAAAGTCTTCAATCAACCTCTCATTTGCAGTTGGTTCAAAATGCTTCTGTAAAAAATAGAGCACCTCTTCTGGCTTCACTCCAATGGCTTCTTGTGCATTTTAAAATACGTTTTGATTTAAAGTTTTTGAGTGACCTTACTCTGCCATACCTCTCTGAGTTCCTTCATCCCTCTTCACCCTCTCAGCCCCTCGGCTCAGCTGAACAGCATCACCAGCTGGTACTGATGTTTAATAGGAAGTTCAGAGTTGAGTTGAGTTGAGTTGAGTTCGAAATTAGTCGATGTGTTCACTGAAAGCCAGATTCATTGGTCGATTACATCATAGTGTGGGGCCAAGGCCTGTTCGGATTTCTAAACTCCTTGTTATGCGGCACATGAAAGCAGCCTTGTTTTGCCCCTTTTAAAGGATGGGTCTGGTGTATGCTGCGTAGCCTTGGGTATCCCGTGATTCGTTGCGACTCCAAGCAAGGCGGCTGCTGAGTGCTCAAAGGTACTTGGCTGAACAGTGGTGAATGTAGCGGCTAAATGTCCATGCTAAAAATATCGACCATTTCTTTCTTGATGAGAATTCAAATAATCACTCAGTCAATGTTGGAAGTGCAGTTTAATGTAATACAAGTATGTGAATAGTTCTGTTTGAAATTACAGAAAATTTTTACTTTAATTCGCTATTGAGTCAGATACATGGCGGGTAATGTTTAGTTTATTGAAAGGTACAGCGATGAAGAGAAGGAAACAACTGAACACCTTTTTTTTATTGTAGTAAAACCCAAACAATTTTATCCTCAATTCATAACTGGTTACTCCCTAATTCTTTTACATAAATTTTCTCTCCCCCTCCGCAATGAAATTTGATATTATTGCCTAAGATAAACAAATAGAATTTATAGTCAACATTATTATTATTACGGTCAAATATTTCATACACAAATGTTTTCTTACCAAAACTCTCCCTACAATCATAGCATTTAGAAATGAAATAAATATACTTACGTTGTCCTTAAAGAAAATGTCTATGACCAATGCTAAAAGCTCTATGCTTTTCTGTCTGAACATCATTCTTACTTACCACTTACAACTTATATTTATCTTTTTCAGTGTTATGATGGTTCGTTGTCAATTTTTATATTTTTATTTGATGATCTAATTTACTGTTGAATAGCCTTTCTCTCTTTTTTTGTATTTTTTATATTTTTAATGCTATTTTACACAATTTCCTTAAGTTTTTTTTGTTGTTGTTGAATATAAGAGATTTTGCAGATATATATTTTTATACATACATTGTTTAGATTTACTTATATATTTTATATCATTACATTTGCTTTTTTTGTTCATGCTCCTGGTGGTTGTATAGTTTATTCCACTCTGTATTCTGATTGATTGATTGATTATCTTTGGACACTTTACAATAAAAATAAATAAATAAAAAGATCCTTGGAGGCTCTGAAATCTAACACAGCCATATAGAGGCTCCTTCGCTGCCTACCATTTTAAATTCGGCTTCAATTCTGCTATTAATTTTTGGCTTTTATAAATAGTGAGACTTAGTTTTAGTGTTATCTTAGTTTTTACATGTTGCCCTTTTCTTTAAGACTGTAGCTATGTAAAATACTTTGTTTTAGGCATCACTGTTTTTCAAGCACTTTGTAAATAAAGATATAGTTTGTTTTTTCAATGATAATTCTGATTATCGTTGAAATACATATACATCTCAGTCCTTTCAAAATATGAATAAACTCTAGAGCTGGATATTTTGTGAGGTTTTTATTAGGCTAATATCTATGTTTGTGCAATTATTGGGTAACAGCTGAGATGCAGTATTTTTTGTTTTAGAGGTCTGCAAAGTTTTCTTCATTCTTGATATCTGAAATAAAAATTATTACCAGTAACAATTTTATTATGGAGATTTGAAATGAATTTTTAGACATCCAGAATATTTATTTTAGATAGGAGTAATGTCATTTCGGATATCTGAAAGTAACACATGAATGGGGAAAAGTGACGTCATTTGTACTAGTAGGAATTACATTTTCGATATCTGAAATGTTTATTTTAGGTAGGAAGAATAATATTAAAGATATCTGAAATACATATCCCGTCAAGTAAACATATGTTAAAACAGCCTACATAAAGATTTGTAGATATATCTATACTGTAGTTCTTACTAGTACATATTTGTTTCCGGATTACTTACGATTTAATTTCTACTGGTAGAAATATAATTAGTGATATCTGTAATACAATTCTGACAAAGAACATTCTAATTGTGACTAGGTAGAATGCTTTAGTGCCATCTATAATAGAAATGTGACTAGTCAGCCTGCTTATTTTATGTTAAAACTGAGCCTCGTTATCACTTTCCAAGTATCTAAAACTGCATTTTAGGCGTTATTAAAATTGAGATATCTGGAATTCTAATTTAACTTGTCATAAAATAAGTAGTTGACATCTGTAATGACATTTCTACTAACAGGAATATATTTTCTGGTGAAGAATTGTATTACTGGATATCTGTAATGTTATATTCTTTTTTGATATCTGAAATAGTAATTTTTAATGGCAGTAACTTTTATGGAGATCTGAAATTAAGAGTTTATCCTTGTCAGAATTCATTTTTAGATAGGACGAATGTTCTTAGATATCTGGAAGTAAAAGCCCAATACACATGAATGGAAAACGTGATGTAATTTGTACTTCTAAGAATTACATTTCAGATATCTGAAATGTTTATTTTAGATAGGAAGAAATGCATTAGAGACACCTTGATTAAATATTCAGTCAAGCTAATAAATGTCAAAATGATCTGCTATACTGCAAGCCTAAATTAAATAATATAATAATCTTCCGTCAAGTATTGTCCTACAAATACCAGGCCAATATTCAGTTCAATACTTTGTTAATCCCGAAGAGAAATTCAGTGGTCATATGGAGATATTAGAACATGTTAATTATGAATGGAGCCCTGGCATTTAAAGATAAACTCCGACCACAGGGCACAAGGCCACTAGGTTTTTAAGCAAGACCATATGTAAATACATCAATTTAACTGAACTAAATAAACTGTTTTTGTCTTAAAGTGTCTTAAAATGGAACCAAGTAAATCAGAAGCAAAGCCGCCATATTTATGTCTGTAGGGTCTCTGCTACCCCCCCAAAAAAGGTTTAAACAACACAGACTTCAAGTTATGACGGATTTTAAGCTTTTATTTGCAGAAAAGATGTCAAAGATATTTACAAAAAAAAACAAAAAAAAAACAGATGCTTTTTCAAACATCATATGGCTCCCTTCAGCTTCATTAAGAACAAACAAAAAAATAAGCTATTTCACATCTGAAAGACACAATTCTGTACACTACAACAGAGTTCACGATATCATCCACAACAGTTTGAGAGGGGTGTGGCTCTGTGCAGCATTTACAGTGAGGCAATTAACCCTTTGTTGCATAGTGTTCAAGTGAAACTATTAGCATTGTGTAGAAAGGTCCAACACACACAGGAGCAGCAGGGCAAACAGTTTATAGGGTTTAGTAAATACTTATGTTTCTCTGGGTTTGGTGTTTAAGAAAAATGTAATGATGCACAGAAGAGCATTGACGATGACAGAAGCAACACTCTTCAGATAAAAAAAAAAAAAAAAAAAGCACATTTACATGCAAGAAGGGGAAACATTCACAGTTTGATATTTGGTACCTTTTAACATCTACACTTCCCTTAAGTACTGGAGAGGTTGAAATCCAGAGGTCCGCTGCCAACATGTTGGACAGACAGCCACTATTATGTTATTTTCCATTTCAATTTACGCTACTGCATGTAAACGATCAAAATTTAGTGGAATAATTTACGAAAACCTGCTTTTGGCCTTTTTTAGCCAGGAATGGCTAGCGTTCCCAAACTACCACATGAGTAACTGAATTGTTGAGGAATTTAAGAAAATACTTAAGCAGAGGCTGCAGCTGACAAAGAAAATGCGACTCGCCACACAAATAAATCAGACTTTTAATATAATTAAATCATTCTTGTATTTAAATTTGTTTAATCTGACAGCAGTGTGAACCCTCCAGTCTTAAGCAGTCTGTTCTCTACAAAACGAGCATGCCTGTTATTTACCTTCATTCACTGTTAAATGCATTTTCTTTAATGTGCATGGAGCTCAACAAGGCTTGTGGTGCCTGAACACAAACACTGCTTTTATAACATAAGCAGCCTTTTCACACTTGCATGGTTTAACAATTTACAAAGATTTCATTTGAGACTTTCCTGTTGAAATGTGCCAAGGCGGCTTTAAAAACCACGATCCAGCTTAAGAGAAAATCCTCATAAAACTCTTGGAGGTGAAACACCTCTAGGTTTAAAATGTATACCACATACTGCAGACTACAAAGAAGAGGATGCACATCTTGCCAGAACCATTGATAAAGACCGGTGCTAACTGTTAGCCAAAGCATCACAAGGAAAAGCCTATTAGATAAAAAATCATGTAAAAATATTTCCCACTCAAAACAGACCATATCTGAAGAACTAAAAGTTACTCAAGACAGTGAAAAGTGATGAATGTTAAGCATGAGGTAGGATCACACTATGAAGGAAAGGAGTGTCCACATACTGCAAAGTCAATAAATTACTCTGAAAGCTAGACTCTTATGTCCTACTGTGGAAGCCAACAATTGTTCAGCCCTGCCAGCTTTCCTATAGTACCCCCCTTCTCTGTCAGCACCTTGTTCATTTCTATTCCTCTTGAAGTTCTTCAATCTCTCTCATTTTCAATTCACTTGGAGCTCGATTGCAGTGGAGCCCAAATGTTTTATAATTCCCTATCCGAACAGCCAGCAGGCTCTAATCAAAGCAGCATTTGTGCCACTATAGAGTTCAAGTCGCCTCAATTTAAAGAGGGAAAGAAACAGAGAAAGAGGGGCATCCCCTGGTGCCTTTAGGAATTTGTTCTTAGATGGTTGATCCTCACATTACGAAGAAAGCTACAAATAACAGTTAAGGAAACATGTAAGACTCAATACTGCTAGGGTGTAAAGCTACAAAGTAATCCACTTCAAAACCTCACCATTGAACCCATCCCTGCTATACCGTAAATATCTGCATAGTCTCAAATTTCTTTAGAGATTTTTAAGTTTTCAGTACACCAAAAAAAACCTCAACAGAAAAAAAAAAAAAAAAAAAGGAAAAAACAACAACATTCAGTTGCTAAAATGGCTGCTAGCACTAAATTCATCAAAAAGAAATTTCTTGGTCATGAACCCATAAAAAATACTTTAATGCAAAGAAAACTGTGTGCAACTGTGGTCCAACAGGGGCTCTTTGGATAAAACAGGAACTAATGCCCAATAAGACCAGTTTAAATTCTGCTTGCTTGTTTGTAATTGCACGGGCTAAAAGGCCTGCTACTTCTAGTTCACATCAATACCAAAAACTTGTTAAATATCTTTACCCCTCTGCCTTTGGAATGTGGCACAGATTTGCAAACCAAGACATATTGTGTGTAATTGTATTAATTTATACTTTTAGGCCATTTCTCTGATTCCAAATTGCACCTCAGTGTTTAAGGACAGCAGGGGTCTCAGTTCATAACATTCTCATCAGACATCATACCCGCTTAATAATTCATTCAAAAAGTGTCACAACATTAAAAAAAAAGAAAGACTCTGTTCATCGGTTGCACATTTCATCAGCCTGAAATTTCACAAGCTCACAGACTTCTCCGATTTCCATCTTGGTTTAGAACCTATAGAATGAGTTCTCACGAAGATCCAATCGCACTTGGTGTGACTCCACTTAAAGGCACGAGGTGGTTTTTGGGGGAAGCAGTCGTCTGCTCTTTAATTCTTACTCCTGTGAATGCTTTGACCAATGAAACCACTGGAGCAGTTAGCAAACCAGCATCACCGCTCAGTACAGTCCAAAGTTAGGGGAGAAGGGCTCAAACAACCAAAAAAATAAAAAAAAAACATTAGAAAGTAAAAACTGATCCTGGCCAGCGCTCAGACATTACTCTGCCTCTGTCAATTTCCCAGTTCTACATAGCAAATAGGAAAATGAGACCGTAAAGATTTATTTGCATATTTTTCTGCCCAGAGCTTTGGAATATTTGTCCCTTGCAGCTCAGCTCAGTATCGTTAATCTTCACAGTTCAGGTAGTGGAGTCCTTTTCCTCTGTCCATCCATGGCCATGAGGTTGAAGAGGCTGCAGAAAGACACAGGGTCAACATGTCAGACTGGAGCAAAAAAGACAAAGTGATCTATAACACAAACTTACAAAACATACTTTCTGCTTTGTTAGGCATCCTTTTTACTATTTTTTTGTTTGTTTGTTTTTAAACCAAACCAGGTTAAAGCTTTATACAAATCATAACATTAAATCAGGCCATTTCCACCAGCAGCTCCATGAGTTAATGGAGCAAATTTGCAATCGGACTGTATCATGTAAAAAGGAGCCAACGTCAAACACATTTAAACACCCCGGTGTCCAGGATGAGAGTGCTCTGTCTTTGATGTGCTAAGATAGGTCCTGACTGCATTTGTTTCAACAGCATTCAGAATGAATTAAGTTTTTGCACCCCTTGTGCCACGACACTCCGTCTCAGGATACTACTCTACTAAGGATTGGCTTCTCTTCAGTCTTTGAGAAGAGTTTGTTTAGTTGTCTTTCCGCAGCCAGCTTGGCTCCCTTAGTTATCTGTGCTCAAGGATGCGTCCATCTCACTGAGTTCTTTGTTTGTTTACCACCTCTTCTAATGTGTGAGTGTGTACAAAAGTTAGTGCATCCCTATAAATTTAGAACAGGCCTAGTTTGATCACTCTGCAAGAACTTAAAGTGTCACTATGATTGTCTTCACCATTCTGCATTGTTAACTAACTACTCCAGTATTTGATTACATTCGGGATCCCTTTCATATTTATGAAACAACCAGACCGTAACTATCCACAGCATCACAAACAGGATATGTATGCATGTGTTTTATGAGGTTTTTTTAAATGTTAGCCTGCATCACAGCATAACCTGATGAAAAGAAAATCGATTAAATTGATCAGACTAACCCTGTGATAATATAAAGTACAGTTAACACAGGGTTTATACAGATATGAGCAACTAATTCAATGCATTTTAATGCTCTTTGAAATCATTGTAATGCCATCAACAAGTACCCATGACAAGAGAGAGACAAAAAAATATATATGTATGTATTCTAAATGTTACATGAGAAGATTTTAAGACATAGCCCTACAAATGAAATGGAACTTAACTGGAAATATTTGAAAACAGTAGATACAAAAACACATGCTAGAAAAAAGAATTGAATTTCATATGCTATGGAAAAGGTACATATGGTGCAAACAATTCGTTATTTTAGAAAAGAGGATTAATGCATGTGTCTAAGTTGGTTCGCTTTTGATTCGTGTTCTGAATCAATATTTTACAGTTAATTTTCCATTTTTCCTTGCACCTCTTTCTTATGGTGCATTAACACAGCATGCAATCAAGGCATAATTTCAGCGAGCCCCGCAGGTAGTTCACCGTGAACTACACCCTGGACTGCATCATCACATAGGAGGAGCTTCAGCTGCCTGAATCTGAAACCCCACCGACATGAAAAAAACTCAGCAAATAGACTGAAGCTTTATTGCTCCTTTAGTGCAGGTTTGTGAATTTTAAATGGTCATTTGTAAAAATGGAAACAAAAATTAATAAAAAAAATCACATGTGCTTCTCTTGTTTCAGAGATGTTAAAGATTATTTTTTATGTCACCCAGAAGTCAACAAACCCCCCTGAAAATAATCAAAATGATCTAGCCTACTTTTTCAGTGCCATTTCATTTGTGCAGGTAAAACTATCGTTGCTGAGGCCAATCTTGGGTCTGATCCCTAGGGCCCATAGCCATATTCACTTCGGGGTGGATGGATTCGATGCAGGTCCATCAGATTCCATAACAGTTTCTTCCCCACTGCCATTATACTTCTAAATGTTGTGTAAAATGGGTTATTTAATTTATTGAAAAAAATGTTAGAACTTTAAAAATACAGTCATATGTTTATAATACTATATTTCTTTTTATGTATTTATTACTGCTTTCAAGGCTGCACTTTTTTATTTTATTGTCTAGAGCCATTTTTAAATGAAATTTCTTTTTGTATACACTCGTGTCTACAAAATGTGAATACATCTAAATCTGTATAAAATATATACAAAGTTATATAATTTGCAATATTAATATAAGCACATTTTATATTAATATATAACTATATTTTACAATTATATATTCATATAGAATATTGTTATTTAGTATTTTTAAGGATTGCCCTTTTATAATTAGTGTTATGATCTAAAGAGGAATATTAGTTGTAATGTGATTTACAAAAGAGAATAAAGTTATTATTTAGTATTTTTATTCATGTCAATCTTCACTTCATTGTCAAGACTTTTTTGTCAAATCGGTAAATGAACGGTAAATGCATGCTGTGGGTAACTTTTTGAAACTATGTTTTTATTATTATCATTATTATTTGTTGTTTAATAATTTTTAATGTGTGAGATATATATATATATATAT